TTTCATTCTAGGTCCCATTCCCAGCACTTCCAAAGTATCCAACATAAATCCCTAATTTACTATATCAAATGCCTTTTCGGCATCTATCGAAAGAACCACCACAGGTGTTTTTTCCTTCCTACTTTTTTGTATAAGACACAGTGATCTTAATCTGTTGTCTCTACCCTCCCTCCCTGGGACGAACCCCACTTGATCTATATGTATCCATTCCGCATAAGTCTTAAAGTCTATTTGCCAAAACTTTTGCATATAGTTTACTATCTATATTTAATAAGGAAATCGGTCTAAAGCTTGAACAGTGAGTGACGTCTTTGCCTTCCTTATGTATGAGTACCACATGAGCTTGTAGGGATTCCCTTCTCATTTCCATTTCTCCTCCCAAAGCATTCATCATATATGTCCTCAATTGGGGTAGTAATATTTCTTCATATTTTTTATAATATCTCACTGTGTATCCGTCGGGTAATGGACTTTTCCCAGCAGCAGTAATTTTAATGCTATGTGTATTTCTTCCTGAGTTATTGGTATTTCAAGGGATATTAGCTGTTTTTCACTTAATTTCGGCAATCCCGCCTTTTTTATATATGCCTGTCTTATTTCTGTTTTTCTTACTTCCTCCTCTCCTATGGTACATGGGGTTTAATATTATATAGCTTATTATAGTATTCTTTAAACACTTTTACTATATCTTTAATTGAATACACTAATTCTCCTTTGTTATCTCTTATGTTCTCTATATAATTCCTAGATTTTTTCTTCCTCTGAGCCCTCATTAAATACTTTCCTGGTCTATCTCCCCATCTATACCTCTCAGTTGCCATTTTGTTGTACATTCTCCTCTTATCTTCTTCCAGGAAATCATTTAATTCTTCTCTTTTATTTATTTTCTTCTGCATTATCTCTTTTGTTACTCTATATTTATGTATCTGCTCTAGATCAGAGTTCACCCAAAAGCGCATTTATTTTATCTCTTCTTTCCCTCTTCTTTTCTGCTCCTATCACCATTAGGATTCCTCTAATATAGGCCTTATGAGCCTCCCACACCGTGGCTATCGTCAAACCCTCAGATTCATTTTCCTCAAAAAATGTATCTATTTTCTTCTTCACCTTCTGATCCGTCTCCTGATCCTGTAAAAGTGTCTCATTTAGCCTCCACATTTTTCCTCTCCTCTGCTCATTTCCCCATAGTAATTGCATTGTGACCAGAGCATGATCAGAAATTGCTTGGCTTCAATATTTACTTTAATCAAAGATTCAATAAGTCTATGGTCTACCATTATATAATCCAATCTTGAATACATCTCATGTGCAGGAGAGTAAAATGTATAGTCTCTGTCCCTCATATGCTCAATTCTCCAACTATCCACAAGTTGGCATTGAAATAGCATCTTTTTTAACCTTTTCAAAGATCTACTACTCTCTCTCTCTGCACCAGAGAGGCCACATCCATCTGTGGGTCCATATAAAAATTGAAATCTCCTGCCACAATCAGATTACCTTTTTTAAAATCCATTAATTTCCTCAAAACATTTTTTAAATATACCTCCAGTTTCTTATTCGGGCAATAAATATTTGCTAATGTACACTCTATTTCCTGCAGTCTTCCCCTCCAGAAACAGGAATCTCCCCTCCGGATCTGCCAATCTATCCTCCACCTTAAACCTTATGTTTTTCGCAAATCCTATTGCCACACCCTTTACTCGTTTAATTGTGGAGTCTGCATAGTACCACTCAGGATAATATCTAGACTGTAGCTTCACATTATTTTCCTGTACTAAATGTGTTTCTTGTAGGAACACCACTGAAGAGAATATATGCTGTAGTTCTTTGAGTATCCTAAATCTCTTCCCCGGGCTATTTAAACCTTTAACATTATAAGTCACAAAATGAATCTCTTCCATTCTTTTCTCACTTCCTCTCATCCTTCTTTTCCCTTCTCCTTTCTCACCCTCTCTTCTCCTTCTCTTCCCCTTTGTTCTCTAAAGCTTCTCCAGACTAATTTACCCTTTATTATCCTTCATAATCTCAGACCGCCCTCTCCCTCCCCCCCTTTTAGGCCTTTAATTTGCCTATGAATCATTTATGGTCAATGTCCCACCTCTGATTCTACCATAGAGTGGAGCTCTGACCATATACACCTCACCAGTTTGAGTGTCTCCTCCCTCCGATGTCCCGCCATATCCTGATCTCTCAAAAAAAACAAAAAGAAAAACAAAAAGAAAAGTCTAGGGAAGATAAGGAGTGGGCAAAGAGAGGAGAAAAAAAAAAACCCCACGGTATTTTCCCCTCTCCTCTTACCCTCTCCGCCCGACCCCTCCACTCTCTATTCCCAATTTCAGGGGGCCCTCCCTCTCTCTTTTCCTGTCACCTATCTCCCCTTCATCTTCTTCCTCCCAACCTGGAATAACTATTTTCTGTATTTCTAGTCTCTCACAGAAGTCTCTTAAATCTTCAGGAAACCTCAGTCTTGCTAATATACTATTTTTCCAACCGATTAAACAGGCTGGAAATCTCCATCTGTATCGAACGTTATGCTTTTTCATTTGTTCTAGTAATGGCTTCAACATTCTTCTTCTTGTTAATGTCTCTGCTGCTATATCTGCAAATATTTGTATATTTATTTCACCATATTTTATTATTGCTCTTCGTTTTATCTTCTTCCAGATCTTTTCTTTATCTTGATAGTAATGAAATTTGGGTTTCCCTTTCTTCCATCTTGCTGTTGTAATCTTCTGATTCTATGAGCTCCATCAATTTTAAAGGGCTCTAATGCAGATCTATCCATTACTATATCCAACATTTCTTTTATTGTTTCCATCAGATTTTCTCGTTGGGGAGTCTCTGGGAGACCACGTATTCTTAAGTTGCATCTTCTGTCCCTATTTTCCTGATCTTCCATTTTGCATAGCAGATTTCTTTGCTCTTTTCTCATTTCTGTCATCTGTTTTTCTAATATCTGTATGGCTTGGGCATATTTGTCTATTTTTTCTTCTGTCTCTTCCACTCTAGAAAGTATCTGCCCCAAGTCATTATGAAGTTTCGCTATTTCTTGTTTTATAGATTTTTCTAGTCCTTTAAACATTTCTGCTATTTCTAGTTTAGTGGGCCACTGTGTGCTCCTTTCTTGTTCTCCTGTGCTCTCCCGAATCTCCATTTTTTCCGTATCTCCATCTTCTGTGATTTGGCTAATATTAGCCATTCCTAGAGATATTCTAGAATACTCTCCCTTATTATTTTCAATTTCACCTCCTCCATTTATTCCTGATTGTCTCTCTGGTGTCCCTTTTACTTGTGGGGATATACATTTTTTAATTGTACTTGTTTGGGAGACTTTTGCCCCTCCCCTTTTGTCGATTTATTCTTCATATCCTTTTTCTTTTTCTCTTCTCTCTCCTCCTACACCCTCCTCCCCTCCCTGCTGAATCCCAAGCCTTTATCCCTTGGAGCCTCCCACAGCTCCAGGGGGGCTTGTCCAGGTGAGCTATAGTAGGGGTTCCTGCAGGGATTCCTTGGGTATATTTCCATTCATACGGTGGGACCCTGGAGGTGTCTGGTGTTGGGAGATCTCACATTGATCTCCCGTTTGGCGTCATGTTCAGGCTCCTCCTCCTATCCGCTGACAGGTGTCCATATTTAATTAGTTCTACTGGTTTTTATGAATTACCTGGGTTTCCTTTCTCTCCTTTTTTCTCTTGTCCTCTGATTTTTTGGAACCGCCTCTTCCTTCTACTACTCCTCCCCTTGCTCCTTCAGCTCCCTCTCTACCTTTTCTTCCCTTTATGAGAATATGGCATGAGGAGAAGCTCTGGGAAGTTTTCACAATGCCAATGGATCATCATCCAGGCACCATTTTTGCCTCTTTTGAAGATGCAAATAAAATGTTGTGCTGCGATAAGGTAGGAATTCATGACATGATCTTTGTGTTCCTCCTAGAGCACACGCTGGATGGCCTAATAGATGAGACCACTCACAAAACATTCACTGCAACTCCTCCCATGTTTAGCACAAAGCACCTGTCATTTGCCAACCCACATTAGCATATTCCCACCCCATAACTTTTTTTTTACACTTTCATAATTTTTATTTATTTATATTTTCCTTGTAGGCCCTCTCTTCCCAGGTCAAGCAAATATGGACAGGGACAGCAATTTAATTTTATTTATTCTACAAAATCTACATGGCCATGAAAGTTATTCACATGTACACCATATATTAATGTATCCATCACTTCATTCCTTTGTTTCCCAAGGTAAGATTTTATCTGTCTTGTTAGACCATCAACCTGTATAACTTTTTTTCTAACTTGTGGATGAAACAACTAATTTTCACTGATGTTTGTGAATCCTTACTAGGTGATGATTCTTTCCTCAAGTCTATTAAAACAGGAAGTTGTAAAATCCTTTCAAAATATTAATTCATAACATATGCTACCAGTTGTGCATCTCATAAAACTATTTTTGATAAAATAATAAGATTGGCATTGCAGAAAAAATTAATCAACTATTCAACATAAAGAAATTGAACTAAGATCAGTACAAGAAAAATGAATTTAGTAAAAAGTGAAACAAGTGCATTAAAAAAAATCCTAAACACAACCTTAGGTCATAAAATAGAAGAGGTCAGAACATTTTTGAACTTCTTTATCACAGATAAATCTTTTCAATGGAACAGACAAAAGTTTTTTTTTTTTGTATTTCAATGTTTTTTATTAATTTTTAAACAGTTTAAGACAGGAGCAACAAATCATGCCCACCCAGGGGCTATCAATGGCACATACAAAAATTGAAAAAACAGTGCTCGAACACCAACAGAGCAAAAGGGGCTATCAATGGCACATAAATGACAAAAACATTAGTATAACACTGACAGTAACTCAAACTAAAGGCAGCTATCCACTGCCACACCAAAAACAAACAAAAAAAGAAAAAGGAGGAGGAGTACAAAAGAAAAAAAATAACAAAACCAAGAGCAGGGGTCCGAGAACACCAATTCTGAAGAACATCACGTCCCCAGACTAGCCGGGGGAGCGTGGGAAAGGCATATTGCAACCACGGCTCCCATATTTTCAAGAATTTACGTTGGGAGTCGTTGCAGATACTCGACATCTGTTCATTGAGCATCATAGTGGTCATACGGTCCCGCACCCCCTGAAGAGGGACAAACGGGCTTTTCCAGGCCTGAGCAATTGTTCTAGTGGCTGACAAAAACAAATAGTAAGCCAACTTCTGCTGATGAGCCAAGAGACCTGGTATGGGACAATGAAGCAAAGCACACAGAGCATCCCGGCGTATGGAGAGATGGAACAAAGTGAACAGAAAGCCAAACACACGAGACAAAAAAATTAAACAGTCTCGGGCTTGACCACCAGATATGCAGTACATCACCATGATGGCAACAACCCTGAAATCATCAATCACTGCAGGCAGAGTTCACCTGGGCCAGACGAGCCAGAACCCAATACCAACAAAACAATACTTTGTATGCCACCTCCAGTGTGGTCGTGTTAAATGAACATTTAGCTATAAGTGACCAGGCCCTATTCCAGTCCTCCAAATCCACAACTGCCCTCAGGCTGTGCTCCCACTGAACAACATATGAAAGAAAAGTATGCTTCAAGCATCTGTTCAAAGCTGCATAAGGAAGGGAAATAAGGCCCGGGGCGCCCGGACTCTGTTGGCAAAGCAGTTCAAAGGCAGATTTCTGGTATGGGAAAGAGAAAGTGCCCCGCAGTGAGATCAGCCAATGCTGCAATTAAAGGTAACAAAAAAATTCCACCGGAAGCACATCACGTGACTCCTGAAGAGAATTCCAGGTGGGGAAGGACCGAGGAGTCAAAAAGTGTCGCACCTGCAAAAAACCATTGGCCACCCACCAAGAAAACGCCCTTGGTTGATCTAAACCCGGTGGGAAGAGAGGGTTGTTAGTAATTAGGAGCAAAGGCAGGAAAGGTGACATCAGGCCAATGGAGTAACGTACTGAGTCCCACACTTGTAAGCCATGGAGCAAAATCGGACTCAGTGCCCTAGGGCGCTGGGCAGGTGGAAGCCATAGAAGCATCAATGTTGCAATAGATGCACAATTAGGTAGTTCCAGCAGGACCCAGAGAGGAACGTCTGAGGAAGCGTGCAACATCTGGGCAATCTGGCTCGCCTGATAATACTTAGTTACATTAGGCACTCTAAGACCACCCGGGAGTCTATGAACAAAAAGTGTATTTCTGGAGACTCTGGGGCACTTATCGGCCCAGATAAAACGTATAATCTTTGCCTGAATCAACCAAAGAAAATGAGGAGGAACCCGCATGAAAATAGTATAACAATTTCGGCAATATGGTCATTTTCACTGAATTAATCTGTCCTATCCAAGACGGGTGCGGAAATTGCCAAGAATGCATAAGAGAGGACACAGAGCGAAGTAATGGATAATAATTTGCAGCAAACAATGAGTCATAGGCAGGGGTCAAGCAAATGCCTAGGTATTCAAGAGGAAGCCCATTTGTAAGGAAAGTGGGACTGTAGGAGCGAAACCAAATCTGAGGCCAAAGTAATATTGAGAGCGACAGTCTTATCCAATTTAATACGGAGACCTGAAATCAAAGAGAAGCACTCAAGAACCTGTTGCAAATTTGGAAGCGTCGTCAGGGGATTAGGGAGAGTCAAGAGGGCATCGTCCGCAAATAGGTTCAACTCGAACTCCTGTTCCGCATATGGAACCCTCAATACATTACAATCGGTCTGAAGCGCTAAAGCCAGCTGCTCAAGCGCCAGGACAAAGAGCACAGGGGACAGGGGGCAGCCCTGTCTCGCCCCTTGCCAAATAGGAAAGGGATTTGAGAAATACCCAGGGTATTTATTGGAAGCCGAAGGGGAAGAATACAAGGCTTGAATCCTAGAAAGAATAGAATCCCCAAAACCCCAATGAGACAGCACAAACCACAGATATTTCCTGGATAGAGAATCAAAGGCTTTATATATATCTAAGAACAGTAAGTATCCTGGAATTTTCCACTGTTGTAGAAAATGTATCAGATGGACCACCTTACGAATGTTATCACTCATCTGCCTCCCAAGGACAAAGCCTACTTGGTCCCTGTGGACCAGACTATGCAACTATTTATTGATCCGAAGACTAAGAATCTTGCCCAATATCTTCAAGTCTTCATTAAGAAGAGAAATGGGTCGGAAGGCTTGCGGTTCCTGAACATAATCGGTCGTTATAGGAATCATGGAGATATGAGCTCTAAATGCGTCCAGAGAGGGCAAAGAGCCCTGTCATAACTCATTAAAATAGTCAGCCAAGAAGGGTGCTAACAGGGTTGCAAATTTCCTATAATAAAGACCAGAGAAGCCATCGGGACCTGGGGCCGCAGTGGACCATAGAGATTTGATAACTTGGAGCACTTCCGATACGGTGACACCGGCGTTGAGGGCCATCTGCGCTGCCTCGAATAATCCAGGAAGTCAAAGATCTTGGAAGAATGCCTCTGCCTGAGCCACAGGGAAGGGATCTAGTTTAGCGTAAAGGCACAAATGGAGGCTGTGAAACGGTAGACAATCTGCTGGGGATTAGAAGTACAGCCACCCTCAGGAAGTCGCAATCGGATCAATTTATGGAGTTTCCCCACAGAATTGAGTTTCCTGGCCAGCATCGGACCCGGCTTATTAGTACAGGAATAAAATTTGTGTTTGGTCCAACGCAGGGCCTGTTCCACCTCTGAAGAGGCAAGTAGGTCCAACTCTGCCACCAGAGTGTCCCGTGCGTGTTTATGGGCCGCAGATGGAAATGACTTCCAACGAGCATCCACAGAGGCTAGTAGAGAATGAAGCTCCAAAAGTCGGTGCTCCCGCTTCCAAACCGTCGCCAGCTGTATAACATGACCTGCACCGTGGCTTTATGCACTTCCCTGACCAAGGGAAGGTGCTGGACCTGCATGAATATATGGTCAATTCTACAAAAACTGTCATGAGGATTGGAATAGAATGTAAAGTCGTGTCAGTTGGGTGAAGTTCCCTCCAGACATCCGCCAGTCCCCCTGTCTGCAAGAGAGAGCGCATACGTTCCTCTAGCACTAAGGGGCCGCCCCCTGGGCATATCGCCTATCCAATGTGGAATCCAACGTAACATGTGAATATCCCAACTGAAGAAGAAGACCCTTGGAGTGTCGGGAAACAATAGTGCAAAGATGAGAAAAGAATTTATGCTGAAAGCAATTGGGCGCGTAGTAAGAGACAAAAGTAACCTCCTGGTCCCAGAGGGAACCCTACAGAAGCAAATAGCTGCATGTGGGATCCGCTATATTCCGAGCACAAACAAAGAGAGATTACGTTTGAAAGCTATCAGTACACCCCGGCGTTTCTCAGGAGCCGAGGCCGTGTAAAAGGTGGGATAATGAGACGAAAGATACCGTAGAGTGAAGGACTGAGAAAACCTTGTCTCCTGTAAACATACCACGTCGATTTGTTGCGATTTGAGGTGATGAAAAACTTTAGCCCGCTTCTGAGGCGAATTGAAGCCTTGAACATTTCGTGAGTGTACTTTCAGAAGGGGTGAGGCCATGGCGGCATCAGCACAGCACGCTCAACAGAAAAAGCATGTCAGCCAACAATTTCCACTCCCAATGGCAATCGGATCATGGCGTCCCAAAACCCTGCATAAAACAAAAACAGAAAAACCAGAGAAGAAAAGAAAACCAGAAAAGAAAAAAAGAAAATGACACGAGAAGTATGTACAACGTAACGCCAATGGCGATGTGCATCCTCCTACACTTGAAGGATACCAGTTGGGGGTGGGTCTACCTCCGGACACAAGGCTGAAAATGAAAACATCAAAATCATCAAAACCATAAGCCCCAGAGTCCCAGAAGTGAGTACATCCGCGGTGACCTACCCATAGAAACCCAGCTAAACTTTCCCTCCAGGAGGACGACTGCAGGCCGCTGTGGTACCCCACAACACAGCCCAAGTGGTCCCCCACCAACCTCCCAGTAGGACCGACAACCAACCTGGGCCTACCAGGCCAACCTCCCACCCCAGAGCCCGAGGGAACCATCACCCCATTCCACCAACGGGAACCCCAGCAATGTCACCCGGACCCATGGTAGACTGCAACAGCAAAAAGTCATAATCCTTAAGTCTAGGAGGAGACCCCCCCCCCACTCAGGGATGGAACCCAAGGTAACAGGCTAGATCAGGCCCAACCTGAAATGCTAACAAACTGGGAAAGACTTAAGGGCCAAACTTTCCCGTCAGGAAAGTCCAACAGTGAAACACAACATGGGAGCTCCAAGATACATCTTCAGCCCGGAAAAGAGCAGGACGGACTTGATTGTAGAGGTGTCTGAGAGAGGGCCCTCTTCCTGTTGGACGACCGCTCCCATAGGTGGCCCAGAGGAAGCAGCCTCGCCGGGGATCCAAATGAATGAGCTGGGCTCTGAGTAGCAGCTTCCGGCGAAAGAAGGTGTAAAGATTCCAGGAGAGAGTGTGCCTCCTCAACCGTGGCAACAGATTGCTGCGGCCCTAGTAGTTGAAGGTGAGGCAGAACGGAAAGCCCCAGGCATATTTAATTCTACGGTTCACCAGGACTGAAGTGAAGGGCTTCAACTGGCGGCACTTCTGAAGAGTGGTCTGGGAGAGGTCCGCGAAGAGCTGGTAGCGATGCCCCTGGAATCTGAGGTCTGAGTTGTTTCTGGCCACCAAGAGAATAGCTTCCTTAGTTCGATAGTAAGTGAACTTGATGATAATGTCCCTCGGGGGCCCAATCCAGTCGTCTGTGGCCCAATGCAGTGTATACGGTAAAATTTGAGCCGGTCTATGGGAATGGCAGGTATCAGCTCCTGAAGCATAGCAGTAGCGGTGGAGGTAAGATCTGTGACCATTTCTGGGATACCCCTTAATTGCAAATTGCCGCAGCGGGAACGGTTTTCAAAATCCTCGTCCACCAATTCTTGCTTGAGGTCACATAAATCCTGTTTGTGACTTTTAATGACCATGGCCACAGAGTCCATTTTATCTTCGAGATCGTTCGTCCGATTGCCCAACTCCCGAATTTCTCGCAAAAGACAGACGGCCAGCTTGGAGGTAGTGGAGAACAATTCCAACTGCAGCATGAACTTGAAGCGGCGCAGGAGCTCAGCATCCCTCGGAGCTGGAATGGAAGACTGCAGGGATGCCTGTGATGCCAGGTCGTCATTACCTCTGGGATCTGGTTCACCTGTGGGTAGTGGCGGCGGGGGATCCGAAATCGAGGCCGGGGCTTCAGCTGTGGCCTCTGGCAGAACACGCGAATTCACGGCTGGGGCCTTGAATGCCTCCGGTGGTGGACCCCAAATCGAGGTCGCGGCTTCAGATGCGGCCTCCGGCGGGTAGGCCGCAAATTCCGGTGCGACCCACTGGGCGCTGGAAGTGCAGGCAG